GAGCGGGAGTGGGGGCGGGGGGGAGGACCCGGGACCCCTTCCCGGCCTGGCTCGGCGCGGCTGGGCTGGCACAGGGCTCTGGCAGGGTCAAGTTCAAGCCACACACGCCTTGCTGGCCCGTGCGTGTGTGTATGTCCGTGTCCCTTGCTTTGGGCGGGCTCGTTGCAGGAGGTTAGTGACCCGTGTGCCTGTGTCCCTTGCCTTGACTGGATGTGTTGCAGGAGGTTATCTTTCCCAGTGATGTGTGTGTGTGTGTGTGTGTGTGTACCCGTGTGCATATGTGTGTTTGTGTGCCCATGTCCCTTGCCTTGGCTGGACACATTGCAGGAGGTTTCCTTACCAGTGATGTGTGTGACTGCGTGCGTGTGTCCATGTATAGCCGGGTTGGTTTGAAGCCAGGTAGAAGGGAGACTTGCACCTTTGCAAGCTAAATGAGAGGGGCTGGGAAGAGCAAGAGCTTTCATGAACCCACGTTCACTTTGTCTGATGGACTCAGGGAGCCTGTGGCATGATGTTGGTGCCTTCTTGGCCCCTGCCACATGTTGCATCTATTACACAATGAACTGACTTGTGCTGTAAACATAGATGGGCCACACAGGCAAGGTAACGATCATATACTTAACTGATCGTACAATTAACTGGTCGGCCATACTGTAAATGTAGACCAGCTGCACGTGCCAAGTAATTAGTACAGGATAAAAGTGACTCTCCAAGTATAAAAAGAGCCAACCAGCTTCAAACTCTACAGATGGTTTCTATCCAGCTTTCACTGGAACGTGTATGTAGCGGAGCAGAGAGGCCTTTTAGTTCTCTGTTCCTGGCAGGTCTCCGATCCTGTGATGGTTTTGAACCCCATGAGGATCATTAGTTCCTCATCAAACTTTACTTTTTTGTTTGCAATAGATGAATTTATTTTGATAGCTATCCTAAGTACTTCCCATAACAAGAGACGGTCAGGCATGCTGGTCTGAAATCAGAAAAGGCAGGGGGATTGCCACCTTCCTGGCTAATGCTTTCAGAGGTGTGTGTCATAAGCTTGAGCTCACTTCAGCATCTTATGAACTAAGCTCAGCCTCTCTGGAGTTGGCTCAGGAGGTGCTAATCTACCCCACTTCCCCATAGTGTTAACCCCCGTATTTAATTTCATAAATTTTAAAGTCTAATTTTTACTTCCCTTACTAATAAAAACGTTGCCCTTCCTTCCTTCCTTCCGTCCTTCCTTCCAACTTCATTGTCTTGCATTTCACTCAGTTTGGACAGGCAAGTTTTACATCATGGGTCTCATGGATTAGCATTGTTCTGTGTAACTGCAGAGCTGAAGTGAGGAAATAGGGATTAGGGAAAATTGTACAGTATTTTGCAAAATTTTTAATGTTTTATCTAAAAAGTAAAACAACATGAAACAACTCCTTCCACTACCACCTTTAAGTGTAAAGAATTTAAATGGTACCAAATACTCTTCACCAGCTCTGGTAGGGTTTGTGTGTAATTATGTCACCGCATTGTAGAATGACAGAGAGGGACTTATTTGCATGGATTTGAAATTAGGTTGGAGAAGTTCACCCTTCCATGTTCAGTTACTAATGCTGGAAGCGTGTGTTCTTCTTTTCCCATGTAAGGTTGGAATTCATACCAAGGCATGGTTCATTGCCGGGATCTTTTTACTGATGACTATACCAATATCTCTCTGGGGGATATTGCAACATTTAGTTCATTATACCCAACCTGAATTGCAGAAACCGATAATAAGGTAACTTTTTTACATTGCATCTGTCATGCAAATATTATATTTTTCCCATGATAAAAAAAAAAAAAAAAGTATTTCCAGTAACTTGAAATGTTCTTTTCATGTCATAACAGAATTCTATGGATGGTGCCGATTTACAGTTTAGATAGCGTAAGTATATTCTTTCACTAATTTACAAGTTCACTGAAAATAATACATTTTTGCTTGTTTTCTGGCTTTGGAAACTGATGTCATACTTTACAAAAAAAACCCAACAGCTCCAGAACTATATGTACAATCCTGGCCATAGAACTGAAAGCTCTTGTTTGAATTGCTTCTCATGCTCCTACTCAAGGGATGTATCAATAGTGTAGCTGCTAATGGTGGAGCTTCTTAATAATGGTATCTGTTACAGTGTTTCAAACCCTTTTTAGCCTGTTGTCTTAGGACAAGCCTAAGGGTTTTCTCTGTTTCTTCCATTTACAGTAACAAATGGGCTAGAAACCTAAAAATGAAGTGACTTATCCAGCCTCTTCAAAGACTCTGCTTTAGTGACATTTATTATTTAATTTTTGTCTTGTTTTATTTAAAGAAATAAGTTTTATATTGATGTACAGGAATTACTGAGTTCAGGAAAGTCTCAGAATTCAAGAGATGCATATCTTGTCCTGCTGTATTCTTCTCTTGTGAATATCCATGTAAGGTGTCTGACTTGCATTGGTCACAGTGTATGTTCTGTATCTTTCACTCCAAGAACTTACATGAGTACAAACAATGAGCTCCAAGTCTTGCCCTTCCAGAACACTATGAAGACAAGCCTGTGAGTTCTGAAAGCCCAGGGTCAGTGAGTACTGTTTGATCACTTTTCTTCCCTGAGGAGATAGGGGCTGATGCAGGCCCAAGATCCCACTGAAAGTATCCTTCTCTTTTCCTGGAGTGAAAGCACAATTTTCAGTATAAAAGATTTTGTATTCATCTCTTAATGCTAGATGCAGGAGAAACCCCCAGGTTCTGGCCTCTGTCAGCTTTGGGGGTACCCATTGCATCTGAAGCCTTCCTTCCAGATAGAAAAAAATGGCTTCTACTAGGAGAGCCAAACAAATGAGGACATAGGTCTCATGTCCTCGTTAAAGCTATGGGATGTTTATTTTCACATTTTAAGACTTTTTGATCACAAATCTTCCCTGCTCTTGTGGGGGAAAGATCATTGTCAGTACTCTGGATATGTAAAGTGAATAAATTCTAGGAAGCCATCTAGTTACTGAAGTGCTGTGATCTCAAGTGGGAGAGGCTTCTAGGTTATTCACCTAGCAAGGGTATAGTCTTAATTTCATCTCTAGTTCAGTTTGTACTTCACTTGAAGCTTGTTCTGTTCTGTTCAGTGAAAGCTTGTTTAACAGCCATTTCCACTCATAAACTATACGTACAAAGTGTAATAAAACTGTGTGTACTTATGATGCAGTAAAGACTTAATCAGCTTCTCTCCACTAGTTGAAGATCCAAATATATCATGGGATTTTACCCAGTTTGTGAAGCTTGCCTTCAAGCCTCTAGCAAACATTTGGTGTTTCACCTGTCTAGGTACCATTCTTTGTACTGATGAGCCTCTGCCAGAAGAGTGATCATATAGTATGCTCTCTTCATTAAAAGAACAATCTCTAAACTAAATTCTTCCCCACAGTGGTAAGTGAGGGTGTGCACAGATGTAAAATTTGAAATGTTTCTAAGTATAAAGGACTTGTAAATGCTTAAGAAAAGATAGTACATAGAAGACAAACACTTTATTCCCCTTTCAGTAGAGATTAAGTCACATTCTGCAAGGGCAGCGCCACTTCTGTGACATGCCTATGGTGCAGTCCCATTTTAGAGATGGGCAAAGTTGCAACCTAAAGCTCTGATGCTTAATGCTGTATGAAAGTATTATTAGCTCTAATGTGCAGATCAGATTCTCTCAAAATCCTCATCTCTCCTGCTTTTAGGTTTCATAGGATAGTTTGGTAAGCTACTTAATAAAGAAATGAAGGTTACTTGACTGAGGTGGATATTGCACATTCTACACTCATCTTCCCCTCTTCCTTAACATCATAATTTCCAAATTCTAGTTTGTATGGGATCAGTGAAGGAAAAGGTGGCATGGTAGCATGCTATAGAGCTCTTCTCCTTTATGATTGTGAAAGACAGAGATTTACAGGTGTTGTTCTTCAGTAAGGTCAATGTTTCTTCAGTCTTTCTTTGTTTTATAATAAGACACGACATATCTGTGATATGCCCCGACTCTGGATGCAGCCAGGCCTTCTGGAGTGTTCTCACACCTTCAGGGGTGCTCTTCAGCTCCAAACCCTTCTCTGCTGTGTGCTGCTTGAACTCTGAGAACAGACTGAGATGCTCCAAAGGTCACCTCCATAACCTATGGCAACTCAGCTTCACCTGCCTTATCAAAGTTTCACCAGGTCTCAGCTGAGGGGACGTTGCCAGCCAGAAGAATCACACCTTTGTTTGACCATGCAGCCAGAAAAGATGGATCCCCTTCTTTGGAGAAGTGGCCTGCCTGTATGGTCAAATGCACTGAAATCACTCTTACCCTGACAATAAGTAAGTTATAAAATATAAGAGAAAGATTCACTATAAAAACAAAATCAAACAGCAGAAGTCAGTAACCATATGCTGAGATAGTCAAGGAATAATAGTAAACAAGCAACGAGATATCAGAATAATAATCTGATTTTTACCCAAGAATGCAGGTTCTACTCAGCTCAACAGGTTAAGTAGCCCCTGTTTCCAATCTTTCCGTCAGGGCCTCCTGTCAGATAGGATACAGTGCCTGCTGGCTAAAGGAGCCCAGTGTTCCCTATGCTGGGGAAAACTGAAGACAAGCCATAACTCTCCTGGCAAGGCTTAAGTATAGCTTCTTAGCTGGCTATTTACATACATTATCCATTAGATTCTTGGGGAGCCTCTACTATGCACATAACTTTCTGCCCCGCAAATGTGTATGTTTGTATGTTTCTTAGACTAAAAAAGTTTCTCCTGATCTGATTATGACCAGGACAATATTTGTATTCTTTCAGAGAGATCCCCAAAATACCATCTCTCACTTACTTTCCCCACTAAGAGAATACCTCCTTTGAATAGCCAGTTGTTCTTGTGGGTCCCTTCTTTTAGAGTGTAAATTCTTTGTTGTCTGGAAGGGCCTGGCTCAGGTGCCTCAACCACGTTGGCAGCGGCCTGTTTGAGTTAACAAACATCTGTCAAATGCTCATTTTCCATGATGCTTTCTCCCAAGTGTGTATAGGCAAGGAACACTGAAGTTAATCCTACTAACCAGGCTTAACTAAAATAAAAATACTTTTGACAAAATTACATTTATATCAAATATCATAATTCCTGTAAACATAAGGACAATAAGGCTAATTGCAGTTTGATGCTACTCATACATTCAGATCACACATACAGCATCTGTAAAACTAACTCAATGAAACATGCATGGCATCCAAAGAATGCCTTGAAGTATAGTAGGGTTTGTAACAATACATTCTCTGCTTTAGATCTTTTTCAAACTCTTGTAACGAACAGCCTTTGAATAGAAACCAGTTAAGAAAAGGTCAGCCTAAACACAAAGGTTTGAAATAAGTGATAGCAATAGGTGCATATGAATTATTCATCTTAACTGAGTACAGGTAGGTTTTGCTTAGAAAGGTGACAAACTTAAAACACCTATGTTGACTGTTAATGCTATTATGACTGGGCCAATTGAAACAGAGGCTGGAAGCAAGTTCATGGAAAAGTTGAGAGTAAAACCAAAATTTGTATATAGGTCTAAATCATTCTTAAAATACAGCTGCTCTGTTTCTAGTCTAACCCCTGTCTTCAGTTGCTTTAACATTTCTGAACATTTTAAGTCACAGATCTCTTTCCCCCTTGCCAAAAATGTTTTTAATGTTTTTCTTTTCAGTAAATCCTGGAGTAACTCCAAGTTAATCCCTGTTTGGGATTGTTTGAAGGTCACTCTTTCAGTTAAGCAGAAAAGAACCTGATTGTATGTGAATATACTTCACATTTTAAACCCATGCAACTTTTAAAAAAAGAATTCAAAACCTAAAATAAGTAGGAAAAAAATGAGCTTCACTACAAATGTTTGTTTGTTCTAGGGCTGAGGTGTTATTCATCATCAGGCCCTGCAAATAAATGGTGTGGGGCCAGTCCACAGGACAGATTGGCATGTGGGTCCAGTTTATGGGACCTGGACTGGACTTCACTTACTGTGCACACCTTGGACCAGCCCTCCATGCTGTATGGGTTTGATCCAGTGTGTACTGTATGCAGTGTGTGTGTCTGTTGAGACCCATAGGCTGGATTGCAGACTGGATGATAGGGCTCCACAGGCTGGATCTGGCACATAGGCTATAATTGACACCTCTGTTTTTGGGAAAATAGTTCTTTATTTGATAACAGCTATGAGCCTTTGATAGCTGTACTTCATTCATATACTGAGAACAATGCTGTTAGCAAGTGGAGTGTAGCTAGACTGCTTTGAGAATGCATGCTTTTATACACAACTTATTTCTCCAAACCAATTTGGCCACTCTTTTCAGATGTTCAGAGGAAGCCCTACCACGTTCATTTCATGAAAATGAGTATCACAGACCTCTAAGTGTCATTTAGGTGTGAAATTTGAAATTGTGACTGAAATGTTGGTTAGCAGGATGGGTTTCCTTTGTCTATTTGACTAGCCAAAAAGCTTTGGGTTATGGAATTTAAAAGCGCAGCCTTTACTTCTGTCACTTTGTATAATATATAGTGTTAAATAATTCTGATATGCTGTTGCTCTTATGTTTATACAATATGAAATATCTGTGTGTTTAAAAAAAAAATGTAAAAATTAAAAGTGGTACTCTGTTTTCTGTATGCCTGGCATACAGTTTGTGGAAATTACCCAAGAAGAGTACAGTACAGCTTGCTTTGAATGTAATTGCTTTCAGTGACTGTCTTTTCTTACAGTGGATAGCTTTGAAATATCCCAACATTGCAATATATGTGGATACCTGTAGAGAATGCTATGAAGCTTATGTCATCTATAACTTCATGGTATTCCTTTCAAATTATCTAACCAACCGCTATCCAAACCTGGTATTAATCATAGAAGCCAAAGATCAGCAAAAACACCTACCTCCCCTCTGTTGCTGTCCATCATGGGCTATGGGAGAGTAAGTATATTCTTGCATCTTAAACTTAATGTTTAGTGCTGTGCATCTTGATACAAAGGACACTGTTGTTCATAGCCTTGATGATCAGGGAGCATTGATTATATTGTTGAATATAAGTCAGCCTGCAGTGCCTAAACAGTACAGAGGGTTTTGTTTGCTATTGGCTGAAACAGTGATTGTGGAAAGTATCTTTGCTGCTTATAAAGCATCACAGAATTGTCAAACTAAGTTGGGGAAGAAAACTAAGAGACTTGTATGACTTGAAGGGGGCTGGTTTATTTTCCTAACAAAATAGGAAGGAATAAATTTCTCTTGAATTTGTACCTACCCCTTCCTGTTTCCCAGCTTTACCCTTGCACAAGGGGCCAAATCCTTTTGCTCTAGCTTTACTAATGTAGCATAGCCCTGCTGACTTCATTTTAATGGCTAAAATGAGTAAAGTGAAAAATGTGTAGCCTTAAGACCACTAACTGGTCACGTTCCTATGTTCTTAATCTGAGGAGCAGTCAGTCTAGTCTTTGTCTTGTGAGAGTAATAATTTGGAAGTTCATATGTTTTCAGACAGACCCTGGCTCATGACTAAGAAATCCAAAGTATGTGTCTTTTCACATCTTTTATGAATAGGTCTTCAAGCACTGTAGAAATAGAACTTTGTTGTGCTGCAGAATGGTCAGAAATTTTTTGTAGCTGAATGAAAGCAAGCATTGAATATTTCCTTTTGTATTTCTGTATTTTGTGGAGTCGTGCAGATCAGTTTGCTGTGGTATAATATTTAAACATCACATGTAATGCTGTATCATATCAGCTAGTTACCGAACAACATTCTAGAAGTAGATTAACTTGAAACAGTTAATTTAGGGAAAATGCTGAAGGCAAGAATTTTTCTCAAGTTGTTTCTTTCCCCCTATGTTAAGTGCATTTATGTCCTTTTTTTTTCTTTCTGCAGAGTTTTATTATTTAGATGTAAATTAGGTGTTTTGCAGTACACTGTGGTCAGACCATTTACCACCATTATTGCTTTGTAAGTATACCCACAGAAAACTAATGTGTTTAAAATATAATGTTTGCATTCTGCTGGAAAAAATGTTATGTTTTTTTTTCCTTCATATTTGAATTAATGCAGTTTAAAAGCAATTTTTATATTTGCCAAGACAGCTTTTATTTACCTCAGCCTGTGACCACTTTGTGCCTCCTAATCACCATTTCCAGAGCTGGGAGTATGTAACTTCTGCCACAGGGGTGGGGGGAATTAGTTTAAACTGATTTTTCTGGGGGAAGGAAGGACATTTTTTAAATTGAGCTATCTTGATATCTTAATAGCTATATATGTGGTTTTCAGTAGCTAAAAATGTCAATATTAGATTACAAATGGTTAAATCAATTTCACATAGACTATTTCAATTGAAATATCACCATCATGGGGCAAAAAACCTTACCATAAAGGAATTTGCCATGCATCTTTTGGAAATATATATGTTTAGTGGCCTGGTAGGAGGCCCAGTCTTGTCTTCCTGCTCCTGTTTGGAAAGTAGAAATGTTAGGATATACTAGCTGGGGCTCAAACTTTTCAACAAACCTTTGACTAATATAGCTCCTTTCATGTCTGGCAAAAGTCTGGCTAGTCTTAAAGAAGGATTTTTGTGGTGATACCTTTGGATCAGCTATCTGGTTGGGATTGACTTAGCCAAGCTTTTGGGTACCGAAAACCATTCCTTGGGTCACTGAGGAAAAAGCAGGCACAGCCTAGGCTATATAGCAGGCAGAAGAAAAGCCTGAGTGAAACTCCATATATAAATAAAAAATAGGATGTAAAAGACATTGTCTGCAAGTTGATAGAAGGGAGGAATTCAGTAGAAAGTATCACCTGGCAAGTGGAAGTGTAAGACCATTCAAGAGGATTGTTATCACCTGGAGTGCACAGGCATCAGATAGATAATGGGCCATGTTTGTGTTAAATCCCTGGTTCTTAGTGTTCAGTAAACTAATTAATTTTGGTTCCCAGCCCCATCTTTTGAAGATTTCTTAGAAATTTCCCTTTGAGTATGATGACTGAGAGACCAGAGACGGGGTGTTTTCGTGAAAAATATTCTCCTACCTGTGTTCTAGTGTCCTTGTCCTTTATCTTTTTTTCTGTGATCATGTTGGTGCATAGTTTTTTGTCTAATATCACCCACATAGTTTCTGTGAGGGCATTTGGTGTACTGGATCAGGTATACCATATTCTGAGCGAAGTTGGAGGGCTGCCTGAAAGCCAGGAGTTGGGGGCTCAGAATATTTCTCCTAAGGTCTGGTCCTTTTCAAGAATAGGCTGAAATTTTTTGATTTTCTTATCAGTTCTAGCATGGTATTGCAAATGACAACCCAAGGGTATGCTGTCAGTGGGAGTTTTCTTGTAGATTTCTTTGGGTTATTTGGATTGCTCTTACAAAGATACCGTCTATTTATCCAGCAAGAACACTCTACGAGAGAGAGGCAGTTTTCAGACTGGCAAACTGGGTGCCCCAAGTATTCTCCTTGGAGCAGATGCAGTGGCATCTGAGGGCCTGATTTAAGATTACAGCTTTTTTCGTGGGTTTTGTGGATTGATGGTTTTGTGGGTGTAAGTGTGGTAGTCCGTGGGTTTTGTTGAGCAGCCTTAGACTTAGAAATCTCTCAAGAATACAACTCTTTCAATTTATACTTTGTTTATATTTGAAAGGCTGTCTGGCCCCTTTATAGTGGTAAAACTGCATTTTATTACTGATGACAACTTAACATTTCAGAAATGAGGGTTTAAGTTTTCTTGTTCACCCCAAAGATTTCATTGAATTTTTCAGACCATAGCACTAGCATAAATTTCACTACAACATGCATGTTTCTGAAGGCTATAGTTCTTGTGCAGACCCTTAGCAATGCTAATGATCTTGAAACTTGAAAATAAATTCCAGGGTCTAAATATTCTGTGGCAGAAAGATATGCCAGTTCCTTTAGAACAGAAGATTGATTGCTGTGGTTAATGCTTAACTTTCTTTCAGAGTCTGTGAATTGGTTGGAGTGTATGATGAAGGAAACTTCAGTTTCAAAAACGCTTGGACATACTTGGTTATATTCAACAACATGTCCCAGCTTGTAAGTATCCAGATGTACCTCTATTTTTGTTGATGTCCAGTTTAAAAATGTTGTTACATAATTAAATCTAGATATTTACATATTTCATTATGGTTAACATTTCAGCTTGAACTGAGAGAGAATTGAATGGCTTTCTATTTAATGCTATGTTGTTTTGATTTTAAGGTGATCTTGCATATATACTGATCCCTCATTTCCTAGGTCAGCATTAGGAAAAAGAACTTTTTCTTGACCATAAATTAATGACTATGAATGAAGTCTTTGAATTGCTTTTGCTCTTACAGAATCCCAAAGGAGAATCAAGTAATCAAGAAAAAGGATTCAGAGGATGAAATGCACTAAAATGTTATAACAATAATAAAAATACTACTACTACCACTAATTAACATACTAAAATTTAAACCGCACCAAAAACATTTCTGACTTTCTATTTTTTTTCATGCGCAAAAATATTCCATGTACAACAGTCAGGACCACAGGAAGCCCAATTTATAAGTTGACCCGCTTGTAGAATATTGAAGTCTTGGAGGAAAAAAGATACAGATTTACAATGAGAAGTATGGTGTTATAACCTGCCATTTCTAAATCACTAATTCAGTCCGCATCTGCATAGTCACTGCATGTTATTAACACTTGTTTGATCTTGGAGGTATATATGAGATGACTTGATCTCTCTCTGGCTCTCATCCCAAATATTGTCAATTAATACCAAATGTGGCAGTCTTGTCAGCATACTTCTCAAAGGCCATAGCTTGAAGGGACATGATACTGAACTGTATATAGTTTCTACAAATGCATAATCCATGTTAAGACTTAGTGTATTGGTGATTTAAAGCGGGGGGTGGTCAACCTACAGCATGCATCACAATTGGCATATGCAGCCTGTGTCACATGCAGCCTGTGTCTGATCACGGATGCTACAGGTAGCATGGGAACAGATAAGGCAGGAGCAGGAGACTGAACAGGGAGCACAGAGAATGGAGAGCAGAGCAGCAGATAGAGAGGAGGAGGATGGGAGTGGCACTTGGAGAGGATGTGGGCTAATTTGTGGCATGCCTGCCAGAAAGGTTGGGTCCAGCTGGATTAAAGGAAGGGGGAAGTGGGTGTGGTAGCTTCTTATCTTGTATCTTACTTTGGACAGATAATTTAGGTGTCTAGGGTTGTTGATGTGACATGTTTCACAAACCAAAAAGCGATCACTCTAAAACAACAGTTGGTAACTTCTGAGGGCCAGAATGACCTAGCTCAGGTTCGAGGTAGGTGGGTACTAGGATCCACAGGCTGATGCCCCTGCCACAGTACTTTAGAAGAATTGCTGAAGCTCTGTGTCTGCAGGCTGGATCCAGTGGCTCTGCTTGCCCTAGGTTACTGGCCCCTGCTTATAGTCTTCCTTTATTTTATCCCTATTAGAAGGACTCTAACCTGAAATGTGTAGTGCAGTGATTATCAGATTTTTCAGACTCAAGGACTCCTTGTTAAATTCAAAGCACCCCTCAGAAAATGCTCACTCTTTTCTGACTAGGGAAGAATAGTACAGCAGTTTTTCTGTTGAAAAGAACTCAGAAAGATCACTACAGGTCAGAATGTTTTTAATGCAAAGGATACCTATTTGAAATATCTGGGCTTATCTTGAGTCACATTTCCACAACTGCAATACACTACACCAGTGCTACTATGCATGGCACCCTTGAAAGGATCTCAAGGCACCCCAACATTTGAGAATCACTGGTGTATGTATTGTGTTACTTGCATTTTACAGTAAGATTCTACACACACAATCTGATCCTTTTAAATGCCACACCTGCCAAAATGAATAAGGATTTAAAAGGCTTAAAAACTTTGTTTTCCTCCAGTTTGCTATGTATTGCCTGGTCCTGTTTTATAAAGTACTACGTGAGGAGCTGAATCCCATCCGACCTGTTGGCAAGTTTCTTTGTGTGAAGATGGTGGTTTTTGTTTCCTTTTGGTAAGTAAAACATTACCAAGAAACCCTGTTATTGTTGGTAGATTTTGAGAAAAAAGGTTTCACTGGCAAGTTATCAGTCCAGACTTGCCTAGGAGATCTTTCAAATTAGTGAGGGCATAAAAAATTTGAAAAGAAAAAAAAATTGCAAGGAAAAATTCCAAAACAGCATGGGAGATGCTTCAAGATGAGTTAAGTTTTATTAATGAAATTTCATATTCTAAAGCTTTCCTCCAACTTTGTATCCTAACTAAGGTCAGTGTAAGTATTTTTTGGGTCCTGTAAGGTCATTTTCAATCTCTTCCTAACACAAAGCAGTGTGATTTAGTGGACTGAGCACTGAACTGGGCTTCTGGAAAACAGGATGGATAGAAAGTAATAGTTTTTTTTATCATTTAAAAAATTGGATTTTTTATTTAAATCAGATTTTTGACTTAATTGTATTTTTATTTCTTTAAGATGCTTTAAAAAAACTATATGAAGATAGTTTTAATTTAAGATATGTTAGAGCTCAAGGTTATCATTTTGGAATAGGGATTATAACTTCTAATTATATGCTATATGAGTCAATATAGGCATGTAACCTTTTTTTTAGAAAAGTTTTATAAATAGGTCACAACAAGCCATGGACTATATTAGGGGCCCAGTCTTAGAGTTCCCAGAGGCTCCTCTATAGATTAGTAAAGAAAACTACTCTACCCAATGGGCCTCAGTGCTCAGTCTAGAAGATCCCATTAAGGATCTCTGTGATGCTTAGTTTCAGTTCTCAAACTGTGGATTTCTCTCTCCAAACATAACATCCTTGTTAACAGCAGTATATGGAGATGATAGAGAACAGATCTGATTTATTTACCCATCAGCCTTGTTGTCTCTCTGCAAGCTTGTGTACACAGAGTCAAGCCCTTGCCTCTCTCTAAAAGTGCAAGTTTCAAGAAGGTAAATGAATAAAGGATTGTTGGGGGTGGAAGAGATCTGGGCAAAGAGTAGTCTGGAGATAAATGCAACGAAGGATGGGTAGTAGAAACAAAAGAAAAACGTTTTGAGCAGACTATTCCAGAAGTCTTGAGGGATAAGATTCTGAGTATCGCCTCTCCATTGATACGAGATCTAGTGAGGGAATGGTATGGCAGAAGGGAAAACCTACCATGGCAGCAGGCTTGCCAGGCTGTACAAAAGACCCTGTTTGGGAATGTTTTAATGAAGGTTATATCTTACAACAACAATGCACTTTTTGTAGAAAACAGTGATTAAATTGAGGCTTCCTGACAAGTGATTTAAATTGCAATTTAAATCCTGATTTAAATTGCAATTTAAATCCTGATTTAAATTGGTTTGATTTAAATCAAATCCACCCTGCTGGAAAACTACACTGTTCTACTTGAATTCGGGTGAATTGCTGTTTGTGTCTATTCCCACATTTTTCTTGTCTAATTTATATTGTACAATTTTTTTAAAGGGAGTATTTGTATAGCATTTGATTTACATTAATGTTGACCGTTTTCTTCTCTAAAAGAACTGTAAAAATTGCAATCCACTTAGATGCAGAGAAAACCAGAAATAGGATGCGCACTGTTACATCCAGCTTTTCATTTGATGGTTGTAGAATCATGACTATATTTTACATTAAACACATTATATTTAGAAAAGCTATTTTCCCTAAAATTGAACCTGAAAATGTTAGTCTACTTGTAATCAAAACAGTATGATAATGGGGATGCTATCTTTGGTTGGGGCCTTCAGGTGCTACTATAGTACCAGTAATAAGTAATCATTTTTATAGGCAAGCTGCCCTTATTGCCTTGTTGGTGAAAGTTGGTGTTATTTCTGAGAAACACACCTGGGAATGGCAAAGTGTGGAAGCTGTGGCCACAGGCCTGCAGGTAAGTACAGCAGTTCTTGCTAAAAGGAATATGGTAATGGGTTAAAGAGACTTTAGTGCAGGCTGTTATAAACCAGACTCTGTAACTGACTTTCCAATGGAAGCGTTGTGATTGCATGCTCATTGTTGGATAGTATAAATGGTCTGTTTGATGATAAAGAGAAAAATAAGAATATTTTGAAGCTAAGTAGCATAGAGTTCCTGGAGATAAAACAAATATTTGTGTTTCTTCTTGGAATAATTGCTTAAAGGATTTCTCATTGGAAGCAGAGATCTAGTAGTGAGTCAGGATGGTGAGGCAGAGTGCTTATTCAATATGCAATAATAAGTGTAGTTGTAGACCTTGGAGGAATTTGCTAAGGACATGCAAAGTGCTATTAATGCACAGGTAACTGGTATGAGGGCCCTGAAGGCTCTGTTCTTCAGAGCTGAGGGAGTTCTAGCTGGTCTTATGCTGGAAGTAGAGCACCAGGAATGTAGGTTTTGTCATGGCAATACCCATGGAGAAATATGTATAAATACATCTCTTGTTGCAGGATTTCATTATCTGTGTGGAGATGTTCTTGGCAGCTATTGCACATCACTACAGTTTTTCCTATAAACCTTATGTACAAGAAGCTGAAGAAGGGTCATGCTTTGATTCTTTTCTTGCAATGTGGGATATTTCTGATCTTAGGGCAGACATATCGGAACAGGTTCGAAATGTTGGTAAGTATTCACCAGGGCGCACAGTTTATTAAGGGCTATTTATCTGCATCTATTTTGGTTTTATGCTGTTCCCTATCACTGTAGGTTGCAAGAGCTTCCATATACTATTGATAGCAACAGTAAATCCCTATAATACAGTGGTTCTTAACCTCTTCAGGGTCAGGGCACCCCTCCACCTCTTCTTTGAATGTGTTGACACCCACATTGAGAACTACTGTTTGTGCTGCTTCAACTTATCTCAGTGCTTCTCAACCAGGTTCTGCTGCCTCCAGGCTCTTCTCGCCGGGGGCTGGGCTTGGAGTGGGCTCCGGCGGCACTGGGAGGAGGCTGCAGCCACCTCAAATTTTGCCATAGCTCCACAGCACCACCCCATGCAGCCATGGCTGAACGCTGTGCCTCCACCCAGGTGCTGGGAAAAGCTGCAGCTATGCCAGGCAGAGGCACAGGGCTGCAAGCGGTGCTGTGGTGAAATTTGGGGTGGCTGCAGCCTCCTCCCAGCAACGCCACTCTGAGCCCAGCCCTGCTGAGAAGTGCCACGCAGATCTGGGAGCACACGCCTCCACCGCCCTCCTGGGGTGCAAGCAGTGGTGGGAGCTGCCCGCACCCCACAAGCTGCGACTCCAGCCCTGCGCTCCCCCTCTGCCCCGACTGGGCAGTGTCTTGGCCATGCCCTCTCTTAACACTGGAGGTGTTGATCTGCACCCCCAATGCCCTTCCCCTCCCCTCTCCCTTTCTGACTTATCGGCTGAAGGCAACTCTCCACGCTACCAGCTCTGCTCTGTGGCTGTGTGCAGCATGGGCATTTATTGGCCCCATCGGGTTGATATCCGATGCAGCAAATTTTCTTTACATCAGTACCGATCCAATATCGGACTGTTGTATTGGTACACCTCTAACCTATTTACTAATGTTTTATTTCTTATCTGAAGTTGTTAACCTGTTTCCAGTATTTGTTACTTAATCCTTTAAACTGATCTTAATATTTACCAGCTTTATATGATATACTAAATATTTACAAAGCACCTAGCACATGGTTGGAAATAAACTGGAGCATAGGACTAGGATTGAGAGAGACCTAGGCAAGTAGGAGGATTGGACCAAAATAAATATTGCAAAGTCCTGCACTTAAGATGGAACAATCCCATGCAGCAGTACAGGCCTGGGCACTGACTGACTGGGCAGCAGCTCTGCAGAAGAAGGCCTGGGGGTTACAGTAGACAATAAGCTGAATATGAACCAGCAGCATGCCCTTGTTGCCAAGAAGGCGAACAGCATACTGGGCTGCATTAGAGCGTCGCCAGCAGATCAAA